ATATTCACGTGTGAGAATGTCAAGTGTAACGCCTGCAACTTTTTCCCTTTGTCCAACCGATACATAGCGGAAGCGGTCTAGAAGTAGACATGGCTAAAAAGTTCTCCAGGTCATGAATCTCGGCCTCTCTAGTAGAGAGAGGGAAAAAAGATATGGCTGACGGACACCAAGACCGCAGGACAAGTGCGACGTATTTACGTATTAAAATTTAAAAATCGGTAAAAAAACAAAACAAACCTAAAACAAAACAAACCAAAAAGAAAAGTTGTATACAAAATGGCGAAGTTGCTGGCCGGTCTCTGCCGTGTGTGGTGTGCCGCACACTCACACGGAGTCACAGACCCACAGTCTACTCTCCATTCGGACATATTTCATTTCTAAAAATTTCAAGTTTGATATCAACTTCTGTTTTGTACTTGTTTTTGTTTACAGGTTTAAAAAACAACAACAACAACGACCAGAATGTCCTGAGTCCTGACTCCTGGAGTTCTGAGTCCAACCCCAGTCCCCAGTCCCCACTCCTTCAGTCCTTCACGCCTCAAGCCTCCAGGGGAGTCCAGGCTCACTCTCTCTGCTGACTGCTGGCCCTGGGGCTCAGTAGTCAGCTGACAGGTAATCAGTCCGGCGGAAGTCCGGCGGAAGTCTGCCAACCCCGTGAGTCCAGACCCAGACCCCAGTCCTCTACTCTTGTGTTGTGAATTGAGAATTGAGAAGCAGATATTTATGGAAGTATTCACTCGGAGAGTCAGAGCCTATTTCTCTGCTCTCCGCGCACCACTGACTATGCACACACTCTTTTATAAAGGAGGGTGAGAAACTGAGAATACATACAATAAACTCCAGTCTCTGAACTGTCTGACAGACACTCACAGTCTCGCACTGACACCAAACTCCAGAGTCCAGGCGCACAATGGTCAGTAGACAAGTTGCTGATAGAAAATTATTGATACCAATGTGCATCTATTGTAGTACCAATGTGCCTCTAGAGAGCACTCTACTAAAACTATAAATAGGACAGATGGCAATCTCCTGCTCTAAAAATCCTCAAGGTTTTATTATCTTTCTATTTTCAACTAAATATACTCTATTTAGCATTTTTAATGCATACAAATTAAAACCGAACAAATAAGAAATTATTTTTCAATTGGTCAAAATCAAAATTTTTCTGATTTCGGATAGTATTTTTGTGATAGACATTTACTCATTTAAGAGTGATTATAAAATCTGTACTTCACGAATATATAACTGTTAGTCTTTTTGACTCGTGAAATATTGAATCGTGAATTTGTGACTACTCCCCAGAGCAGAGTCCACCAATGTATGAACTATGAAGTATCCAGTATCTCTCGTATTCTATTTATATTAGATAAACAATTTGAAAGTGATAAAGACTCTACCCGCTACCGAACACATTTTTTTGTGTGTTGTGAAAGAAAGACAAAACAACAAAGTTTGTGTTTTTGTTGTGCAAAACCAAAAAGAAAGCTATTTATAAATATAAAGTAAATCAGTATTGTTTACGGTATTTTTATAGAAAATAAAATATGTACAAATCTATAATCTGTAAAAGTAAAACCTTTGGCTGCGTCAAGATATAAATCCCAATGGATATATCACTGCAGCACTGCTACATAAAAGCAAGGGGCAATGGGGCCCATGGACTTTGGAGGTGTTTCAAGTTTTCAAATCTGTAAAACCTGGTGGTCCTAAACCAGTGACACTCTTTTTTGGTTTTGACAGTTGGACATTTGCGCGGGCCAACCGTCTTGACCAATCCGACGGGCTTTGCGTTTTCTCCAGTATAAATACGGAGGTTCAGTTGTCCCAAGCTCACTTTACTACTGTAGAGCTTGGGACCCACCAAAGGCAAACAAATCTTAGCTGACTCAAACCCCGTGTACTTTCGTGTCACGACCACGACCAGTTGGCTTTACAAATGTACATAAACAGCCATTTGAACAAATGTGAAGTTTTGTTGTAAAGAAGCACCAACCAGGTCATTCCCCAGGAGACCACATATGTGACATACGGGGGGGGGTAACAACATATTTTCTAATCATCCAAAACCGATTCTGTGAGCAGTTTTGGGCCCTGCTTTAGTGAAAAAGGAAATATTGTGTTAGGTTTGGACCTTTTGTAGATAAATACACGTGTTGTATTGTCCACATCCCTGGCGAGAGAGTTTAAAATAGAGGTGAAGCCCACAACCTAAATATTAGACCAAGAAAACCCATTTGTTTATTATATTTGTTTTTATATATAGAAAAAAGACACTATTTTGAGTATACATTTGGATGCCGGTTGTCAAGTAAAACAATAAATAAACTCTGTTGGTACATAGTTCTAAACCTAGTTGGACTTTGAATTCTACACTGGTTCACTCCTCAACTATTGGGCCATTGGCAAGTTCTCAAAAAATATCTTTACAATTTTACTAAAATCGCTTTCTTAGAATAAACAAATGACGAAATATAGAAATAGAAATAGTTAGTTGTACTCCACTCTGATCTCGGTTAAAGAATGTCCTTTGTTTTTAAAAAACAACACCTTTTTTATTTACGCATTTAAAATAAAAAAAGCCAAACGACTTTGTTTCGGTGGGTAGTGGAATGATGGGGCGTGTCGCGTTTTAAACGTAAAAAAATAGGTTTAGGTTCTCAGATGGGATTGTTCCAAAAGTTTGTGTAAAAAATACTGATTTTCCAAAAGATGACTTTCCACACAGGAGACTTTCCACAAGGGGCTGAGAAATATAATAGATGGGTTGGAACTCGGCACTGAGCATAAAGTGCAAGCAGATTAGCATTAGGCTATACTCCTAGAAGTGGCATGAGAATCTTATACCATATAGCTACAGTGTTGTGTAGAGTGATGGGCTAGTAGTAGTTACACAATAGCGTTAAGATAAATCCAACGCTGTCGTCAATGTTCCAGATACAATAAGAGTTCAGTACCAAGTATGGTACACAATAAAGAACTGACCCACTCAGAAAGGACATGCTCTACACGTACGTGCGAGTAGTTAATATATATGTACAAGTTGTGAGGATATATAACCCGTACTAAAGAGAGAAATAAAGCTATCCCATACACGGTTCTATATGTGCTATCACAGAGTACAGGCAGTCAGAGCAAATGTGAGGAAATCAGTAAAAATGTTAATATTCTCTGTATTGCATCCGGTCGATCACAACATCATACATATGTTCGATTATACACACACATAAACTATTTTTTATTTCTTGCACCTTCGCGATCAACGGCCTCACCAATTGATCCTGCTTACTAGCCAGTCATTGTAACTATTCGAAATATATTCAGATTATCTTATCATCATTTTTACTGAACACTATGTTAAACTACGCGACCTCCGGCAGTGATCGGAGGTGTTTCCTTTATAGAAGAACGGTGTACATGTTATTATGGGCTAAAATATACAGTATGTACATCCACAAAAGTGTCCCTACGTCTGCGACACTTTTTATTGCTGAATCATTGGGTTGTTGTCAACGTAACCTCATGGCTCATGTAAATATGTATTTCCTGTATTAAATTAATAATTCCTAATACTCGTTCCACTTCTAAACCCCAATTTACAATTTTCTCACATCCGAATTCTAAAATCAAAATAAATAAATACACTCGGAAATATTTTTTTAAAGAAATAAAGTAATAAACGCTTTCAGTCGACGATATTTATTTAACCAGCCTCCCAGGAATCCGGGAACCCATGGCCCAGCGCCCCAGCCGCATAAATATTTTTTACATTTGATAGGCGATATAGAATTGTCGGTTCACGATTGTCGACGACATGATTTTATTGTGATAGAGTTGATAGTTGATACTGTACTGTAAAAACTAAAAAGCACAAAACTTTTTATACTTTTACAAAACAAAACCAAACAAATCCCAATAGCCAATAGGACTTCTGTTTTTAAAAATACGAGAGGGTGTAAATTATGAATTGGTGAAAGGATTCGCGCCACCGGACTTCAATACGAGCTTCATATATGCTGAAAACGTAGCCTAGTTTTGAAACCGTTTTCCCGTTTTCAGGTATTATACCAGCCATTTCTAAAAACCAGGTTTGTTTGGATCTGGACTACATGGACCAATTAATAGCTGTTATGTTTTAACAGTAGAATATGTGTCCAACTAAAAACAAATCAGCCTATCTTTTGGCGAATATAGTTGGCGGGCTATGGGCGAGCAAAAAACCAGACCCCTATGTATTTATGTATGAAAACGTGTTTACGCCACCCAGACCCAGTGACCCGAGTGACCCGAGACACGAACCCACTCAGTCTAATTGTACCTATTTTTAACGCGGCATGACGTGAATGTAAATGGCATGTAGTTTTGAATTAAACGTACACGTTTTACTCAGCCTATTTTTGGGGTTGAACTTGACGTGACAATAGCACTTGCCAAATGTAACTCAGCTTTTTCATTTTAATAATAAACGGTTTTAAAAAACAAACTTGTTTAAAAAAAGGAATAACATTTATATATAGTTTTGGTTTTTTTAAAACAAAACAAAATTTAATCGAGTTTGTTTTTTTAAACAAAATTAGAAAATTTATTTACATTTAAAACATACAAATAAAACCACTAATATTTATTTATAAAATATTTAGATGGACCTGGCACCCTGCGCGGTGGCGCTGGCTAGTGCTGTGTGCTGACTGCTGAGCCCATTTTTTCTAAGCTCTTATAATATATGTGTCGAGGAGTGGCCTGCGCCCTGCGGTCCGGAATTCCTGGATTCCTGGTTCACTGGGGTCCAGAAAGGTAGGACATAGTCAATTGTATCCTGGGTGTGGGTCCTGGTGTGTCCGAGTACAGACTTTTGGGAGCTGGGACAAGAAGAATATTTTTTGTACCTCAAGAGTCGGGCCTCGAGACTTGGGCCTTGGGGCTCGGGGAGGGGAGTTATTTATATGTGTACTATAAAAAAATTGTGCAATTTCTTATTTTATTTTAATTTTTATAATAATATACTACTATGTACATACTCGGCTATTTAACTGTTGTGTGCATCCGTATTGCTTCCACTCAACTACAAGTCAAACGATTATTTACATGTTGATGTGATATTGCAGTTGTTCCTTCAGATCGTATAGATACTTGCTACTGATTTCTGATGATGTTGATCACATCCTCCATACCTGCACAACAGGCGCAGGCGCTCACAGAGCCACGTGGAGCACAATGTCTTGACCAGACGGCTGCTGCCGCAGAAGTGCTACTCACAGAGCGCGAAGCCCACAAGCCTGATTCACCGAGTACAGATTCGCCGACCTGTTTCAGTATCACCACTGAGCGTGATGTTTATTACGGAAATGACCTGGTAAACGGAGAAGTGAATTTCAAATCGCTTACCGAGGTTGTAATTCCGAGAGTTTGTGTGGCCGTGATGTGCCGCTACGTGTGCAAGAATCGAACCTCACTACAGTACAAGAAAGCCCATACGATCTTCAGGTGTGAAATTTTTGACTTTACTTTATTGTATCATGTCTTTGAATTTGGATTGAATGAAATTTCACACACTTTATGCCTTACACCATACAATCGGCAGAGCCTTTTGCTTTCAAACGTGCATGATTCTCTCAAATTTCATCACTTCCACGCCCTCATTTCCCGCAATCTCACTTCTTTCACCCTACCTCCTACTTTTTAGGTCGATGAAGGTGATCGGACGTGACTATGTTGTTCCCGTGGGACAATCATCCATCCCTTTTAGTTTCATACTCCCAACGGACATGCCCGCCTCCATGCAGCATGTGTTCTGCACTGTGCGTTGGGATTTACGCCTATTTCGTTATGATACCAATACTAATTTAGCACTCACGAGGAAGGCCTTCCTTATGTCGTCACTATATTATCCCTTGCCCGGTCTTACCCCCACTGTGCAAATGGAAAGACCCGCTCTACTGCGCAAAGGTACGGCTGTGCGCATGGAAGCGTCGCTGACAAAAGACATATTCACAGCCGGCGCACCCATCGATGTACACATTGCATTCCATTTGTTGAAGAGAAGTGTGAAGGTACGGAAAGTTGTGGCGTCTGTCATACAACGAGTGGAGCATCACGAGGCTGACCAGGTGCTCAGCTGGTCCACAACTGTGCTGGACAGGAGCACACTCAACTCGTCTAGTCTGAACAGAAAGCTTAACAACACCACTGAAAAGGGCACGGCATTGGACCACACTTTCGCCCTTCGGCCATATGTACAAGAAGACATGGGGAATGCGGTTGCCCTACAGAATACGGCTGGTGATGCCGGCGCGTTAGTTCCTACTACTCATACTCGGTGCCACAACTCAATTGTTTGGATATTAGGTATGTTTAAGTTTTCGCACTGTCGGGTTTAATTTCGACTGGTGTCCAGTTGACAATATTGCATTTTGTGAATGCCGTTATATATTGTCGGGAATTTGAATTTTTGACACGGCAGTATATACCAGTTGTGTATTCGGTTGCAATATAATTTGTATCGATGCTAATCTGCTACTTTTCGTACTCATTTCAATTCCCAACAGTGACATACATGGTGGACATCAAAGCGACACTTTTCGGTGCACCAGATATAGAGATGTCTCTCCCGCTCGTCATAGAAGGCTGTACTGCAATAGTTAGTGACAACTTAGACGCAACAGCTCTGAACAATTGCAAAACATTCCCCACAGTAGGGGAAGACCCCCCGGAATACGCAGACTACAAAATGCAGTCAACACGCTCTTACACGAGCTTGAGGCGCAATTCCATAGACACTGTGTTCGCAAAGCCAGAGGATGTACCCTTGCCTACGGCAGTCAAAGAGACTAATAGTAAAATCATTCGGCGCGCAACACTCCCGGGTATGCTCACACGGCCCAAGAGCACCACGACTTTGGCACGGCCACAGGGTCACTCTATCAAAGAGCACGTGGAGAGCGACGTCTCTGAAGAGGCGGCTTGTGTGACAAACGGAGGGTTCGAAGAAAATCAACAGGAAGTGGAAGACAACGTGGCGATGGTGAGGATTCGCAACGTGCGCTCTCTGTTGTCTGGTAAGCTGTTTGGCGGTCGCAGTAGGAGTATGAGTGTGGATGAAACAAGGCGTTCCCAGAATCGAGAACGACAAGACAGTCTGTTAGCACAGGGTCCGCCTTCATTCTTAGAAGCATTGCAGTTCATATGAACATATCTAAGTCAACGGGCACTCGTCAGGCCACGCAGGGTGTGTAGACGAACATATTGACCTTTTCAGGTCCTTATGCATGAACTTATCTGCAAGTAGTGAAAGATTCCATTCGGTTAGAAGGTATGGATAGAACCACGCAAAGGATCACTTCCGGTATGCTACAGGCCTACGCAAAGATTTTATTGTGATCATGCAGATAAGCCTACTGGAGAGTATAGGTTTGCGAAGCAGTTGCGCATTCTTGCAGTTCTAGGGTTCCTCAAATACGTCACATACAATAACAAAGCCTTCTCCCCGGTTGAATATACGCACTATTGTAGTTCAGAGCTTTCCGTATACGACTCACAGGTCTCCATTGAATTTCAGTCTACAACTTGTAGTATTAGCGTAATTTAATGCACCGAAATGAAGACAGGAGAGGATACAAAAGTACAAATTCTCGCCGGTGGTTGCTCATGCGATAGCCTTTAGCGAGCTGGCAGTGTATGCTGCCAAACAATACACTGCATAGCTACTGCTTGCGTGCTTGGGTGCGAAATCAAAAAGATTAAAGTTCGTCACCTTAAAATTGCATTTGAATATCAAGGTGTTGACTCTTGATAATCCTTAATTATTTCATGTCCTGAGCGCAGTCGCAATCACGAAGTACCCATTTTGCATAGCGCCAGTACGTCTAATAAACTTGCAGCAAGGGCTTGGCAATCTTCCAAGTTCTGATACCTCCACTCTCTAATTGTCACGGATAAGAAACATACAACCTGTAAGCTATGAAGTATACATATGCAATTAAGTGACAAACAATCTAGAAAACGAATGGTATTCTACATCATCTGTGTCGCATTCTGCCTCCTGAGAGATACGCGATCATCGTATTAAGGATATACATTATTGCCAGTATATGTTTAGAAATCAGGAAGGTTTGAATGTATATGGTAAAATATGTGTAATATATTTTAGATTAATGGATATCATAAAACAGGTGTATTTTATCCTTCAACTGTTAACTTTTGCACGGATATTTAGAAACGAAAATTTGTTGCATAGTTTATATAAATATGTATGTATATATAAATATACACACACACACACACATA